CCAGCACTGTTCCCATCCCCCCAATTCCCCAGTAAAAATCTTAAAAAAAAAAAAAAGAAATAATAGCAATAGCCCTGTCCCCCACTGCCCCCAATGGTAGCATCTGGCGTTCCTACAGTACAATATCACACCCAGGAAGTGGACCTTGATACAGTTCACTAATCTTGTTCTGATTTCACCAGTTTTTCATGCACTCGTGTGTGTGTGTGTGTGTGTGTGTGTGTGTGTGTGTGTGTGTGGTTTTATGTGTGGACATTCATGTAATCACCACCACTGTCAAGATACAGAAAATTTCATCATTACAGGGACCCCTCATGCCGCCCTTATATAACCACAATCTCCTCCCTCCCCTAATTCCTAATGCCTGGCAGCCATTCATCTGCTCTCCATTTGTATAATTTTGTCATCTCAAGGATGTTACATAAATGGAATCATATAGTATGTAACCTTTTGGGACTGGCTTGTTCACACAGCATAATTCCCTTGAGATCCATCCAAGATGATTTACTTTATAACAAAAGTCCCACACTTAATCATTTATGTGGGTGTAGTCCCCTTTTAAGGAGTCATCTTAGGAATTTCAAGGCTAATTCCATTCATGCTGACATTGCCCATGATATTTCTCTAACTTCTTTTCAGTCTGTAGTTATTTCTTTTTCAGAGTCTGTAGCTATTCTTTTAATTATTTTTAGTGCTTTATCTAAATCAGGGCACATCAAACTTTTCCTGTACAGGGCCACATACTTCATATTTAGACTTTGAGAGCCAGACTCTGTTACAACTACTCACCTCTGCCAAAGTCACACATACTATATAAGCAAGTGGAAATGATTGAGTTTCAATAAAGCTTTATTTACAAACACAAGTGGTGAACCAAATTGACCCTGTGAGGTGCAGTTTGCTGATCCCTGATCTAAATAATAAAAGTGTGATTTGATTTTTATTTATTAACTTCATTTGTCATTCTGGATCCAATCTGGCAAATGAGAAGGGGAATAATATATGGGGAAAGAAACAAGGGGAACTCCATTCACAACAGCAACCAAATCACAAAGTTACAAAATGCCTAAGAATAATTATGGTAAATGCAGAGCATATCTGTGGAAAACCATCAATTTTTGTAGGCTTCATAAGATAAGACATGAATGGATAGGCAGTCTAGAGTAGCACTATTCAAAAGAAATATAGTGTATGTCACATGAAATTTAAAATTTTCTAGTAGCACATTAAAAATGTAAAAAGAAATCAATGAAATTTATTTTAATAATATATTTTCTTTAACCCAGTAAGCCAAAAACTATCATTTTAATTTGTCATTATTATAAAATTAATAGTGAGCTATTTTATATTTTTGTATTAAGTCTGAATTCCTGTGTGTATTTTTTGCAGTTATAACACATTTCAATTCAGATTCTAAATCTTCATCAGAAATACTTGATTTGAGTTTATATTTCATATAATTTTAGAGTTGGAGTGATTGATTCAAATGTCCAAGTTGTTCCAAACATACTTAAAAGTTTTCCAATTACTAAAGCAAGTTCCAGTTTCTAAACTTAAATTTTAAAATCATTAGAATTAAAAATAATTAAAAACTCAATTCCTCAAGTCCCCCTACCCTCATTTCATTTGCTCAGTACTCACATATGGCCAGTGGCCACCTTGTTGAACAGTACAGCCCCAGAGCTTGAGAATAATGATTCGTAGTCTGATGCCCTTATGGAAAATAAATTCTGCAAAGCATTTCTGAATGAGTGCATTTGTGGAACTGGAGCAGCAATGGGGATGGACAAGATACAACAGGCTCTGGTGTCAGACATTCCTGGGTTCAAGTTCAGGTTTGAGTGTGTATAGCCTCTGATATGTTTCTTATTCTTCTGAGACTTTCTTTCCTTATCTGCAAAATGGTCTTCATAATACCTACCTCACAGGGTTCTGTCAGACATGTAAATATTTAGTAAAGAGAAGCTGACTATGGTAATGGCTATTATATTTGTTTCCTAAAGCTGCCTAACTAAGTACCTCAAGCTGGGTGGTGTAAAACAACAGAAATTTATTCCCTCACAGCTCTGGAGGCTAGAAGTCTGAAATCAAGGTTTTGACAGGCCATGATCCCTTCAAAGGCCCCAAGGCGAGGATCCTTCCTTGCCTTTCCAGCTCCTGGTAGCCCCAGGCGTTCCTTCGTTTCCTGGAGCATCACTCCAACCTCTGCCTCCATGTCCATGGTCATTATATGGCCATCTTCCCTCTGTGTGTCTTTGTGTCTCTTCTCTTCTTATGAGAGCATCAGTCATATTAGATTATGGACCACCCTACTGAACTCATCCTAACTTGATTGTGCCTGCAAAGACCCTACTTTATTTTATTATTTTAATATTTTTAATCTTTTAATTACAGTTGACATACAATATTATATAAGCTTCAGGTGTAAAACATAGTGATGAGACATTTATATAGCTTAATGAAGTGATCACCTCGATAAGTTTAGTACCCATCTTAATAGCTATGGTATACATAGTTATTACAATATTAATTTACTATATTCCTTATGCTATACCCTACATCTCCATGACTATTTTATAACTATCAATTTTTACTTCTTAATCACTTCCCCTTTTTTACCTAGCCCACCCCCCAACCACCCTCCCATCTGGCAACCATCAAAATGCTCTCTATATCTATGAGTTTGTTTCTGTTTTGTTTGTTTGTTTGTTTGTTTTGTTCTTTAGATTCTATATATTAGTGGACTCATGTGGTATTTATCTTTCCCTGTCTGACTTACTCCATTCAGCACAATACCCTCTAGGTCCATCAGTGTTGTTGCAGATGGCAAGATTTCATTCTTTTTTTATGACTGAGTAATATCCCATTGTGTATATATACCACCTCCTCTTTATCCATTCATCCACTGATGGACACCCAGGTTGCCTCCACATCTTGGCTATTGTAAATAATGCTGCAATGAACATATGGATGCACATGTCCCTTCGAAGTACTGTTTTGGGTTTCTTCAGATAAATATCCAGAAGTGGGATTACTGGGGCTTCCTTTGTCTCTTGTTATAGCCTTTGTTTTAAAGTCTATTTTGTCTTGCTATAAGTATTGCTACTCCAGCTTTTTTTCTTTGCTTGTTTCTATTTTCATGAAATAGCTTTTCCTTCCCTTTGCTTTCATCTCTGCATGTATTTTATTCTGAAGGGAGTCTATGTTAGGCAGCATATGTTTTCTTATTCGTTCAGCAGCCCAATATCTTTTTTTTTTTTTTTTAGCTGAGCCATCCTGCTACCTATTGGCAGCTTAGCAGCAGCTCAGGTCGGGCACGGCATCGAACCGCTGTTGTTCAGAGCTCACACTCTTGAGCAAGCTCTTAACCAACTGAGCCACTCAGCCGGCCCCCAATATCTTTTGATTGGAGCATTTAATCCATTTACATTGAAAGTAGTTATTGATGGATACATACCTATTGCCATTTTATTATTCATGTTTTGGGTTTTGTTTTGTTTTTTTGTCTTGTTCTTCTTAAAGAAGTCCCTCTGACATTTCTTGTAATACTGGTTTGGTGTTTATGAACTCCTTTGGCTTTTTCTTGTCTGGGAAGCTCTTTGTCTGTCCTTAGATTCTAA